GACCCCTTAAACAGCAACTTAGGCAGCTAGGAGCAATGAGCGAGTACAATATGCCTTGAAATGTTGTCTTCGCGGCAACATTCGTTATTTTATGTATTCTGGCATAAGAACACCTTATAATGTTTTCGCGGTAGCATATAGTAAGTACAAACTACTAGAACATTGTTCGTGAGGAGCGTGAGTCGATTCCACCGGACAAAATAGTGCAAGATGCAGCTGGCATTGCTGGCGCCGAAATTTCGTAGAGCTGTAGCTTGCTTAAATGGCTCTCCAGGTAACTAGGAACACGGGAATAGTGCCATATGCCATGAAATTTACTTTCGGAATAGTCAATCTGTGTAAGTTTTGTACATCTAGAACGAAAGATCGAATTTTAAGGAGTACCAGCTAGGTAATGTAGCATATGCAGCAGTAAACTGAAGGCTGTTGATATCAGCTGAGTCTCTATATGTTTATTAACTGGTGCAGAAACTTCATTTGCAGAATTTGAAAACGCCGTAAATAATCAGTTGGCTGAGCTGCAGAAGGTTTACACCATGTCGATCGCCAAGAAAGACGCTCTCGCTGACTTGTTACGTGAACGGAGCAAGTTGATGCAAACGGTGTTGAACATAGAAGAGGTAATTAAAAGCATTTTCGCTCGTTAAACGTGTCAGTTAGTTAAACAATTTTTCAGCCATAAATTTTGAACTATGAGATTTCTGAATTAATTGCTTTGTTGTAGGATTCATACAGCAGTGCCGAATTGAAGGCGATTTCAATGTCCATAGATAGGCTGAAGAAGGAAAACGAAGATTTGGACCGTCGTGCAACTGACTGTGCTAATTCGTTGCAAAAGCTTGTAGGTGAAGGACGGGAGCAGATTTCGACGGCTTCCAACCCGTTGCTGAATAAGGCGACGTTGCATCTCGAAAGCTTGAAACTACAGGCAAAGAGAAAGCAGGAAACGGTAATGCGTTAGTGAATATTTTTGTCGTATTCAAATTGCCACTGGCTCCCACAATTTCAGATAGAAGATCTGTCTATCGGTACCGAAGTCCTTGCCGAACACAAGAATATTTTAGAAAAGGGACGAACAGCGTTTATGGACCAGCTGAAGTTGTTGATGCCTGACTTTCAGGACAGGCCAGGTGAAAGATTTTAGGCAATTTAGCGGAATGTTTGACTCACTGTTAAAACTGACATTCTTAATATGTTCAGTGATACGGTATTGACCTAGAGTATTGTTTCGCTGAGCAATAGTCATTGTAGATACTACTACGTCTGATTAACGCTGACTGGCTTATAGTTTGCAACGAGAGGTATGTGAATTCTCAGAATCTTGCGTTAGAGTCACGATGTGAGACCGTTTCGAGACTAACGTTAAATTATCACTCCTGTCAGAGAAGCTCTGCATAATGCGCCTATGGGTATTTTGCCTGAATCCCATATCATTTTTGCGCTGTTGTCCGCCATTGAAAAGGATAAGATGTTGAATCTTCGACGATAATACGTTTTTAGGTTAAAGTCAACTAGAACCTGTTTGCACAGCTTCTGTAGAGATAACGATTAGCTGAAATTACCTCGTCAGGTTATGAGCAAAATTACTCTACTCTTTGCTTCTGGAAGGCTATGGATCATTTAAGCAGACGGAGTCTCAGGGATGTTTGAGCACTTACTGTGTGGATACGCAGAAGTCTCATAGCGTCCGCTTGGCCCTTACGTATTTAATCCGTAAGGATGGTCTTCACTGCTTATAATCAACACTAGTTAAAATAGGAAGAATTTCTGTAGTTTAGATATGCACATATGGCGATCACTATTCTGTAGCTAAATTCACTCTTAAGGCAGAGAGATGTCTACAGCCGAACTGACAGCACTGTTGGCCTGCGCCCTTGTTCGCATCGACAGGCTGCGCAAGAAACTGGCCGAATACCCAGAGCAGGAGAAGCAACACTTCGAACGCGAGCTTTCGGCCCGCGTTGCCTACTTGACTCAGATAAACGAGGAAAGTTTTGCAAATAAAGCCGAAAGCATGAAATCTTGGTATAAGGCGGAACTGGAAAAACAGGCAAGTCAACATTTGCATAAATTTTTAGCTTTAATCTAAGTTATCAGGTGGTAGCACCCGAATTAGAATGGTAGAGTCAGAAAGAGCATACCACGTACTACACAGAAGACAGCGTGCTCGATCAGACTGCACTTATGTTGAGCTACAACTGTCATTTGTATATGTTAAACTGTTCATCTTACAATAGGAACTGCCGAACTTTTATATGCTCCAAAAGCATATCATGACACACTTAGTTATTTTCACAGTTTTCAAATAATATTTCTGTGATATCATGTAAGTGGGAAGTCAGTGTTTTATATATTGAATTGATTTTGTTGATATGTTGTATTGTTAATTATGTTATTTATTTTTCAGGTGAAACAGTTCCGCGATGAACATGACAGAGAGACCGAAGCTCGAATCGAGACTTTACGACGGATGCACGATGAACACTTGGAAGAGGTGGCAAATATGCAAAGGCGAGAGCTGAAGGCGATATACATGCAAGAGTTAGAAGATCGACTGAACGAGGCGAAGCTTGAGTTTCACAAAGAGGTCGGAAATGCGTTGATGAATATTGAAGCAATACAGCGAGTTCTAAGCGGTACGTTTCAGTATTTGATGATGATTTTGGTTATTATCAAGTCATTGATTTTAACTGAGGGAGGAAAAGATATGTTATTCCTGGTACCCTTAAACAGCTTTTTGTATTTAAACATCCGTTATTAGACTGAGAGGCAGATAGTAGTCGCAGTAGGAATGACAAGATTTGTTATTAATTGCCAGCAGTTATTATGCATTGCAGGGGGGAGGCAGATCTGGGCACAGACGGTACGAATTTAGGAACATATTAGCGGGTTATTGATTTCTGTCTCAAGCACTGTACTCATACTTCAGAATGACCCTTGATTGGACGAGGCCAATGTCACAGTGATCGATCATCAGAGAAGGTCAGATCGTTGATAAATAATCACTACGCATTTCTGCGAACAAAATTGGGAGGGGGCAGTGTCATTGTCTGCATGCACCTCTTGAGCATGAAATGTAAATTAATTAAGTCTTATG